CAGGCGCCTGCCACAACGCCCGGCTATTTTTTGGGTGCAACCCGCAATGGTGGTTTGGCGGGTCCGGGCTGGGGATTCACCACCTTAGGTGTACGTGGCTGGCGCCTTAGCCGGTTGAGCTATAGGCGCTGAGCCGAGAATTTCTTTTGAAGAAGTGGTCACTTTCTCTTCTCCCTCTGATTCTCACTTTATTTAGGTGATTGTTTTAGTGGTACACTTTGCAGGGTGCATTCTGTGGGAATATTGAGACCAAGCAGAGTGTGTGAATAAAATAAAATAAACTCTTGCCTTTGAGATATGTATGGTTAATGTCAAGTGCAAATTTTGGAAGTCTATGGTCAAGAAATCATCTTGGAGTAGATGGGATTTGAGCATATTTTCCTTGAAGTTTTGAACTTTAAAGAATTATATAATTCTAAAATGACTTTGGGAAGTTTATTACTTAAGTACCTTCTATGTGTGATGTTAATTATGATTCTCTTTATGTGTGCTGGAGTGAGGATGAGTTTTTGGTAAGTTTTATGTAAGTTATATAACATCTGCCTTTGCCTGGGTCCCTCAGGTAGGCTGTTTTCTGACATTGCTCAGGCTTACTGTAATGCTTTTGGGCAATAAGATACAGCTGCTCTTTGCACATGTTATATCAGTCTGGCACTGATAATATACCTCCTTGAATTGCTAATATTTATTATGTCTTCATATTCAAAAGGGGAAGAGATTAAATTGATGGGGAAACAATTTTTGTTTATGGAGAAAATGCTTAGCATATTGTAAAACTGACTCAAAGGTTTTTTTTTTTTTGATACAGTGTCTCAGACACCCTGAGGTAGCATGCTATGGTATCATAATTTAAAGCAACCTTAAACTGTTGGGCTTAAGCGATCCTCCTTTTCAGCCTCTCCAGTAACTGGGACTACAGGTGCCTGCCATACTGTTTGGCTAGTTCTTCTGTTTTTAGAAGAGACGGTGTCTCAGTTTTGCTCAGGCTGGTCTTGAGCTCCTAACTCAGGCACTCCACCCTCATCTGCCTCCCAGAATGCTAGGGTTACAGGAGTGAGCCACCAACCTTGACTACTCTGTGTTGTGAACATACAGTTTAACATTAGTCCAGCTGTCATTTGGTCTGTGTTACAACTGTTTATATTGTATTAGAAATTAGTATTATATTTAAAGTCAGAAATGGGAAAAATGACCATAGAACAATTATCACCCAGAATGCCATGTGTCATAACATCCATAAAGGCCGGTAACCCCTGAAGATCTAGTTCTGATATAAAAGGTTTATTAAAGTGCAACTCAGAGCAGAAAACTTTTGAAAATAACATGGAGCAATAGACACATTTGACCTGCATGTGTATTGGTGCGTCTATGAATTATGTTCTCTCAATAATTGAGAATTTTCTTTCTGTCTCAAAAAAGAAAAAAAAGAGTAACTATGTCGCCCTTGGTTAGAGTGCTCCCAAGCAACCTCAAACTCTTGGGCTTAAGCGACTCTCTTCCCTCAGCCTTGCAAGTAGCTGGGACTACAGGCACCTGCCACAATGCCTAGCTATTTTTTGTTGCAGTTGTCCTTGTTTAGCAGGCCCAGGCTGGGTTCGAAACTGCCACACTTGGTGCATGTGGCCAGCACCATTAACTACTGTGCTATGGGTGCCAACCTGAGAATTTTCATAAAATAATTTGAGTTGTCACATAACAAAGAAGCTTAATGTAGTCCTATAGGGCCTACCACCTTATGTTGGTGTTGCTTTAAAGATAAAAAGTTTGACAAAATTGGATATTGCCCTCTTTTGGGGGAAATGGCTTAGTTTAGTGATTTTATAAACTTTTTGGTCTCTGGGCCCCCTTTTTACCCTTAAAAATTGTTGAGAACTACAGAGAGCTTTTATGGGTTGTTATTTGTTAATAGATGCTATAGTAGAAACTTTGGAACTTACTGTACATTTAAAAATGCAGGATAGTTATAAAGTTTGTGTACAATTTTAAATTGTACACTGGTTTAAATTGCACACAAACTTTATGGCCACTCTCTATAATAACAAACCCATTACATACGATAAAAAATAATTTAACCAAAACAGAAATTAATGAAAGGCACTTCATATTTTTGCAAACGTGTGGCTTAGTAAGAAACAACTGAGTTCTTATATTTGCTTCTGTATACTTTCTCGTTACATGCTATTTTGGTTGATTAGTTGAAGTATATAAAAATATTTTTTTGCCTCAACCAGATACATATTTGGGGAAAAAAGATGTGAAGTATAAGTATAAGCTTATTCAGATAAGCATGGCTGTCCTTTGATACTACATCCAAACTCAAAGCATAGTAACTTCTTTAGGTTGCAATGTGAAATCTGAAACAATATCAATTAACTTTTCATTACATTACATTAAAAGTCATTGGTCTGGGCTCGGCGCCTATAGCTCAACCGGCTAAGTCGCCAGCCACATACACCTAAGGTGGCAGGTTCGAATCCCCAGCCTGGACCCGCCAAACAACAATGACGGCTGCAACCAAAAAATAGCCGGGCGTTGTGGCGGGCGCCTGTGGTCCCAGCTACTTGGGAGGCGGAGGCAGGAGACTCGCTTGAGCCCAGGAGTTGGAGGTTGCTGTGAGTGTGATGCCACAGCACTCTACCCAGGGGGACAGCTTGAGGCTCTGTCTCAAAAAAAAAAAAAAGTCATTGGTCTGCACTTGCTTTTCCCTCTGCATGATTTTCTAACATGCATTGGTCATTTTGTCATTCAATGGGTTATGCAGATCTTCCAAATGTTAACATATTACATACATGGTATCAGAAATTCACATTACTGTCACCACTAATCTGTTTAATCAGAAATGGCTTTTCTAATTTTTGCTTGAAAATTCAGATATATGTCATCGGCAACAAATAACAGTGGTTTTCCTCAAAATGACAAGTTTACTTTATTCATTTTCAAGAAAAGATCTATCTGTGAGTCTGAAGAATCAGTTTCTCCATCAGTTGTTCTGCCAAGTAACAATAGTGTTTCATCAAAACAAAACAAAAAACCGATACGTTTCTTGAGAAAAGCTTTTAGTTCCACTTGGAACTCAGTTGCACAGATGCTTTTTCCTTAGAATTCATAAAGCTGCAGAATCCTTTATGAATACTTTCCCTTTCATCTCACAGAATTTATAAAGAAATGTACTGAAGGGTCAGATTTCAATAAAATTTAATAATTTTTGTTGATTGATCAAGAACATCTTAGGTGAAAATGACTTTTTTTTTTTAAATGACTGTTAGTTCTGTTTGCCTCTGCCTTGATTTGTGCTAAGGTACCAGCAGTTTTGTTCACCTTTGTTTTAATCACCTTTATTACAAATGTTGTCAACCCATTGAAAAAGGCAAATAATATTTTAATATTATTATGAAAACACCTTTGATTTCATGGACCTTCAGAATAGCCTTTGAGATCTCCAGAAGTCCAGAGATACACTTTAAGTATAGCTGGCTTGGCTACCCCCCCAACTCCCCCCCCCCCCAATACCTAGGAGCTAGCTTAATTCTTTACGTAAGCTTCCCTTTGCTCCTAGACGATTTGATCAAGGGGGATGAAGCAGAAGTAAAAGATGGAGGTTTTTAGCTTAGTTACTAAATAAAAAACAATGCCATTACCCAAGATTAATGAAACAAAATGAGACGTATTCTGGTTGAAGAAAGTAAGTGAGTTCTAACGTTCAGGTTTGGGGAACCAAAGTGGAAATGTTGATTAATGCAGCTCAGAAAACCTTTTCTGAGGCCTTAGTGTACTAGTGGTTGTTGAGAAGAGGGCCCTTGGATGCAGGAGGAAGAGAATAGAATGATAGTAGTGTCAAATTAAGGACAATCAGGAGAGGAGAATTTCAAGGTCAGCACTATCTGTTGCCTCAGAGAACTCAGAATGAGTGGGGACTGAGACTTGGCTTTGATAATTACTAGTGACCTTGACTAGAGAAGTAGGGAATAAAATCAGATTGGAAGGGTACAGAGACAGCTAGTTAAACTCTTCTTAGAAAGGTTTTGGGTAAAGGGCAAGACATGTTGGGCAATTACTTTGAGAGGTAGGCCGAACTGAGAGCAGAAGATACTTCAGCCTAAATTCTTAGGCTGAGAGAAAGCTAATAGAGAAGATATTGATAAGCAGTCTGATTGAAAAGAAAATTGATGCAGCAAGTTGGTATTATAGGTGTGGTACAGTTAACCTTGTAGAGCAGTACAGTGTGTACTTGTAGAGAAGCGAAAAGCTGATGTCAGCTGGTGCCCTGGCCAGAAAAATGTACAGATCTATTACATGTGACAGAAAATTTTTGTGTGAACATGGGGGGTTTCTTACATTGAGTGATTAATTTGATATATTTGCTTTAAGTCTACTCTGAACAAATTTTAAAGAGTTTGTTTCATTTAAATACTGATGATTTAACAACCTGTGATTCTCTCAGAATGAAAGTAACCTTTTGGAAACTTTGAATCTGTGGAAACACAGGAAAGAAAGGGTGGAATTCTTTTTTTCGCGTGGGGATTGTGCAGGTTCCCTTTCCCCCCAGGTGAAAGATAATTTGAATCTCCAGAATAGGTCCAGGGTGTTTTTTTTATTTTCCTGGAGGGAGAGGTTGGACAGCCACCTCAAGTAGTGCTTGTGTTAAAAACACGTGTTATTTTTTGAATGTGGTTGTATTTCTTTTTTTATTATTGTTAAATGATAGCTGTATACATTAATGCAAACATGTAGTGTAGTGTTTTCATATACAATTTGAAATATTTACATCAAACTGGTTAACATAGATTTTGTGTCATTTACTTTGTTATTGTGTTAAAACATTTATACTCTAGTTCTAGAAAAGTTCACTTGTACCCTTGTTAGACAGACCATATAGGTGATCTTTCCAGTCACCCTCCCACTACCCATCCACCCTTCTCCCCTCCCCATATTCTTAGGCTAGAATTAGGTTGTAGCTTTCATGTGGTTGTATTTCTAACATTGTTTTCTTTCCTTTCTAGTCTGTTCTCTGGGGAGGCAGTAAGGGGCCGTGGAGCTGGCCTCGGCACCGGGAGAGGCTGGACTTCCTGTCTCTCTGTGCTGAATGGCTGCGATGGCGCCCGCTCTCACTGACGCAGCAGCTGAAGCACACCACATCCGATTCAAACTGGCTCCCCCATCCTCCACCTTGTCCCCTGGCAGTGCCGAAAATAACGGCAACGCCAACATCCTTATTGCTGCCAACGGAACCAAAAGAAAAGCCATTGCTGCAGAGGATCCTAGCCTAGACTTCCGAAATAATCCTACCAAGGAAGACTTGGGAAAGCTGCAACCACTGGTGGCAACTTATCTCTGCTCTGATGTAACATCTGTTCCCTCAAAGGAGTCTTTGAAATTGCAAGGGGTCTTCAGCAAGCAGACAGTCCTTAAATCTCATCCTCTCTTATCTCAGTCCTATGAACTCCGAGCTGAGCTGTTGGGGAGACAGCCAGTTTTGGAGTTTTCCTTAGAAAATCTTAGAAACATGAATACAAGTGGTCAGACAGCTCTGCCACAAGCACCTGTAAATGGGTTGGCTAAGAAATTGACTAAAAGTTCAACACATTCTGATCATGACAATTCCAGTTCCCTCAATGGGGGAAAACGAGCTCTCACTTCATCTGTTGTTCAGGGGAGTGAAGTGGGAGGATCTGAATCTGGGGACTTGAAGGGGGGTATGACCAATTGCACTCTTCCACATAGAAGCCTTGATGTAGAACACACAACTATATATAGCAATAATAGCACTGCAAACAAATCTGTCAATTCCATGGAACAACCAGCACTTCAAGGAAGCAGTAGGTTATCACCTGGTACAGACTCTAGCTCTAACTTGGGAGGTGCCAAGTTAGAGGGTAAAAAGTCTCCCCTGTCTTCCATTCTCCTCAGTGCTTTAGATTCCGACACAAGGATAACAGCTTTATTGCGGCGACAGGCAGACATCGAGAGCCGTGCCCGCAGGTTACAGAAGCGCTTACAGGTTGTGCAAGCCAAGCAGGTGGAGAGGCACATACAACATCAGCTGGGTGGATTTTTAGAGAAGACTTTGAGCAAACTGCCAAACTTGGAATCCTTGAGACCCCGGAGCCAATTGATGCTGACTCGGAAGGCTGAGGCTGCCTTGAGAAAAGCTGCCAGTGAGACCACCACTTCAGAGGGACTTAGCAACTTCCTGAAAAGTGATTCGATTTCAGAGGAATTGGAGAGATTTACAGCTAGTGGCATAGCCAACTTGAGGTGCAGTGAACAAGCATTTGATTCTGATGTCACGGACAGTAGTTCAGGAGGAGAGTCTGATATTGAAGAGGAAGAACTGACCAGAGCTGATCCTGAACAGCGTCATGTACCCCTGTAAGTAGAACCTGTGCATAATGTCATTCTTGAGAAATGGTGGCACAAGAAAAGGCTTAGTGAATGCCCATTATGGAGAGAATATGACTCTTTGTACATAGATGTCTAGGTTCCATTTGTCTTTTCCCAGTTTTAGGTAGATGAACATATACTGGCTAGTGAAAACAATGAAGGCATTTCTGAGGTACTGTTGCTTTAGGCTAAAAGGTGCTAATTTTCCTTTGGAGACTTTTAAAGAAAAAACTGGAAGACTTCTATTTGTAGAATTATGCCAGTACTACTTTTAGAGTGAATAATTTGATTTCTTTTGAACCTGTGTATAGGACATCTTGGTAAGTTTTAATGGATTAACTGTTCAGAATTTGTTGTTAGCAGTTTAGTGGGACAAATGTTTAGTTGTCCTAGTTAACTTTACTAGAATTTACAGTTGCTTAGAAACCTTTTGACGATTGAGAAAATGCTTACAGGCATTCAAACAAGATGTTACTTCAGTGTGAACTGTGCCTCCTATGCACTTTGCTTTTGCGCTGTCTACAGTCAAAGGGTTAAATTGAACTTTGAACAGAGACCATACCCAGTTTCCAGTGTTAATACTTGAAATTTTCTTACAATTTAAGGACTAACAATTAGAAAACACTTCAGAATATTTTACACATTGCCTCCAAGCACAATCCATTTTCACAATTTGATTCTCCTCTTAAAAGAAGGCACCTGTGGCTCAAGCGGCTAGGGTACCAGCCACATACACCTAAGGTGGCGGGTTCAAACCCAGCCGGGGCCCGCCAAAACAATGACGGCTGCAACCAAAAAAAAAAAAATAGCTGGGCGTGTGGCAGGCACCTGTGGTCCCAGCTACTTGGGAGGCTAAGGCAGGAGACTCGCTTGAGCCCAGGAGTTGGAGGTTGCTGTGAGCTGTGATGCCACAGCACTCCACCCAGGGGGACAGCTTGAGGCTCTGTCTCAGGAAAAAAGAGCTCATCTTTGTCAGATTTTAATTTTATTTTCTCTCAGCTAAGTTTAAGTATGGACACATTTGGGATGAATTTTCCTGGTTTTTCTAAATCTGTTGGTTGGAGAATTCTATGTAAGTTTTGCCCTCCTAAGTAACATATGGAGACATTCACTCTTGTTCTTTCTTCCTGGATTAATGTACTTAAATAATGAAGTATTGTAACATAGTATACTTAAATATGCATTTATCTACTTAAAAGTATTAGAATTGTGAAACGGAGCATGAGGAGTGGAAAAGGTGCAGGGTAGTTTACTAGTAGACGATTTTTCATTTCATCTTTTGTTAGAGATGATGTAAAGGTTGGCTTACTGGAAATGGCTGAAATGGGTGACTATGTTGGAAAATTTGGTTTTTCCTTTGCTAAGATTTTTCACTGTAGAGCTTGGTTGTTGAGAAAGCTGTGCTTTTAAGCATTAAATTTGTTTTCTCATTTTTGTTTAGTATCACATGTATAACATTGCCTATCTGAAATGAATCTTTGTTTTATGTTTCTATTTGGGGGAACAAGTCTAGATAATTCTTGCTGAATTTCTTCCTAGTAGATCTAGTTCCATTACCATTTGTTAGTTCAGTGTGTTCAAGAGTCCATTACTATATTCAGATTTAAAGCAAATATATTTCAGAGGTTTGCTGCTACTGTAATATAGCTCTTTAAATGGATTGGTATATTAAACCAGTTTGGCAATATTTGTGGCATTATCTTCACTCTGCTATATAAACCACTGCTAAAGAATATCTTGATTAACATGAAGCATTTTAAGTTGCATTTACTTATTTTATGTATTTAACATAAAGGGACTTTGTTACATTTAAGCTTATTATTTTCAGGGTATGTTGCATTGAAAACATTTCTTAGTTTTGGTAATGTATATTGTGGATAACTGTTAGGAAATCAAAATACCTAAGAGACAACCTTTTTTATTTTATAATGTAATTTAGTGACTTGGAAAAACACCTTGGTAGCCCATTCACTCACTGTTTAGTTCTGAACATTCTTCTTATGTAATGATTTGTTCATTGGAAACGTGTGAAGTAAAAAGACAGATCAAGCATTTTTAAGATCGTTGAATCTCCTTGAACTTAATTAAATTAAATAATGCTTAAAAATTTGAATTTCCATGCTAAAGGATCATATTAAAGTAAGGAAAATTTGGGCACTGAAAGTACTGTCAAGTAAATATCCTTTTTGCATATTATAATTGTATTTTTATAAAAGTCACTAATAAAGCACAAATACTTAAAAATCTTACTGGGCGGCTCGGTGCCTGTGGCTCAATCGGCTAAGGTGCCACATACCCCTGAGCTGGCGGGTTCGAATCCAGCCCGGGCCCGCCAAACAACAATGATGGCTGCAACCAAAAAATAGCCAGGCATTGTGGCAGGCGCCTGTAGTCCCAGCTACTTGGGAGGC